AAAATATGCCAAGTAAATGAACGATAAAGGTGATCAATGTCAATGGCAGTCTCTCGTTCAAAATTTACATTTACAAATTTAAAAATTTAATGTTCTCAGTTTGGAGAAGTCAAACTCGAAGAAAATTAACTAGCAAGAGGTGGGAGATGATGAAATCATGAAGAGTTTGGAATCTTTTTTTAAATATTTTTATGAAAAATATTTTTTGTAATGCTTTAATTTTTCACCTGTTTTATACCCATTATTCTTAGAAATTTTGTAATAATGAAAATATTTAAATCTAACCGCACCCATAATGTGTAACTGCTTTAAAAATAAACTTAAATTTAAAATTTAGATTTTCCTGGAATTTTCTGTGCTTTTAAAATCACTTTATTTCACATGAAATCATATATTTCCGTGGTATAAAAGTGCCAAAAAAATAGTTTTGAAAAAAACTTTCAACTGATGTAGGTACAACAATAGGTCTTAAGCTGCATAGACAAGCTAGGAAATTTCACTATAATTTTAGCTAAACATTAGTGCATATATGTACATATATGTATGTTTAGCGAGAAAACGAAAAAATTGCCTTATAAAACTCAAATGTCATTAGCAAAAGAGCGACACATTGACGCCAAGCACGCCTACGCAAATTCGTGTACTTTGCGTTTAAAGTCGAAAAGACGACAAGTGTTCTTCTTCGAGTGACACAATATGCCGGTAATTAACATAGTGACATATTAACATGCAAGAAATTCATTATGAATTTAGTCGGAAACACATGCTACATATATGTGTGTATGTATTTTGAAAGCTAAATGGTCAAAAAATGACATTTCACTTAAATTATATAAATAAAAGTTTTCTGTTTTGTTAATTTAAATTAAATATATTATATCTACACAGATATGGCATAGCTAAAATTAGCTTTGATTAGTAATGCAGCATCTTTTTAGTAATTTTTTTAATTTTTTTTTTTTTTTTTTTTTTTTTTTTTTTAAAAATTTTTTTATTTTTTTTTAAAATTTTTTTTTTTTTTTTTTTTTTTTTTTTTTTTTTTTTTTAATAAATTTTTGATATGTATGTAAATGACATTGCCTTCTCCATTCATAAGCAGGTAGCACAAAAAAAAAATAAATAAGAGGTTGTTATACGCCAATAAAATTGAAAACAGCACTAGATTTTCGCGAATATTCCACTCAATATTTAATTACTCAGCCGCATAGCGCTGAGTATTTGGGTATTTAAGCAGAAAATTTATCAATTCAATTCTAGGAAAATTTAAAAAAAAATTTTGTGCCTTACTTAGTTGAATTTTTTACTGAAAATTTAGTTATAAATAAAAGAGAATAAAATAAAAACAAACTACCAAAAGGCACCCATGAATGAAATCGATTAGTTACGTATACGCCCCGTCGGCTGCTTAAGCGCTGCAGGCAATTTACTTAATCTCATTGATTATACACCATTAGGCTTTGTAGCGTTGTAGTGTAAGTATATACAAAAACATGCTGAAAGAAAAATATATAAGCATGCATATATACTACATACATGCATACACATTTATTGTATATATACATATATTGAGTTATCCATTTCTTGGTTTCATAAGTTATAGTCAAAAATATTTTTCTTTTACTTAAAAGTCATAAATAAATGAAAGTGAATCGCTTAGCAACCGCAAAACGCTTTTATGTTGTTAAAACCTACTACAAAAATGGTAATTGGAATTTGTCCAAGTTTCGTGTTTTAAGCGGAGATTGTGGCGCACATTATCGTGCGACTGCTCAAGTAATTGGTAAAATTTGAATGAATGTCGAAGAGATTTTTTTAGTTATAGATCCTGTAAGGCTTCATTTTTTGCTCGTTCCAGTGCAAGAATCGTTACTGAAAGTGAAAGTGCAGCCGAAGACCCGAATTCGTCTATTTCTCGAAGTTCTCAAGAACTGGAACTTTTTTACAGAACAACATAAGCCAGCTAACAATTAACAATGCCGTAAATGTGACGTTTGGGTGCTTGTGCAACAAGTGATTTTTGGAAAAAAAAAAATTCTTCAATGACGAGGTACATTTTTCATTTAGGGAATATGTAAATAATCAAAATTGTCGCATTTGAGACGCCAAAAATACTCAAATAATTAAAGCGAGACCATAAGATATAAAAAAAAATTATGAGCTCTTTGATCCGGATGGTCGTTATCATATTGCCGACTTTTTTTTTTAAGAACAGTACTTGAACAATACGTGGTTTCAACAACATGCCATGCAACTCAAACGACTGTGGCTTTATTGCGAGAAAAATTTTCCGGCTGCTTAATCTCTCGTTTAGGTGATTTAGATTCGCCACCGATTTGTCGTGCGATTTGTCACCGTTGAATCTTTTTTTCTGTGGAGCTACTCGAAAGACCAGGTTTATGCGCACTTGACCATCACTTGACCTCAAGTTATGGCTGATATACCACCCAAAAAAGTGATCGAAAGTTACCTCAAAAGGATCGAAATGAAGTAGAAATTCGCGAAGCACTTCTTTGAATGATGTAGTGTCTCACATATAATATCAAGGTTCAAGCTTTATATTAAAAAAATTAATTTCATGGAAAAAAAATTTAAATGCATTTTATTTACGCTTATTTTCGAAACAGTGAAATGGATAACTCTGTATTACTATTTTGTATTTAATTAATTTTGAAATTCATTTCTTAAGTATCACTTAAATAATTTTCTTTGGCCAGCGGGCAATGTGAATTATGTGGGGAATTCATGTTTAAAAATGGCGGAAAATTTTTTGCCCATTTTTCTATTTATTTTATAATTTTTTTATTATTATTATTTTTTTTTTGTATACAAATAAATTATTCTTCTCCTCACTTTTTCCATTAACGTAGGGTTTGTATGTTAATACTTTGGCGAGTCGTGCTGTCATAAAATTTTACTTACAAGCATATTTATGTACACGTATGTATGTGTTTTTATATGTACATGTATATAGATGCCTATACATTTCACACTTTTTCGCTGTCGTTATCGGAATTTATGTTTTCACTTTTTTTATTACTTTTGTGCATATTTAATTTTATGTATTATTACACTCTGTTTTGGTCGTGCCGATGGGTTTTCGTATGAACATTCGTAAATAATAAATAAATGCGTATTAAACATATTTAATTTGAATGCACATAAATAGCTGATTTTGTTTCGCCCTAATTTTATAGTGATTTTCGAATTAAGCAAGCAGAAATATTTCTACTCTTATCGATTAATCGATAACTATCATGAAAGCTTGTTTCTATTATGGAAACATGTTCTTAAATAATCTGAAACATTTTTTTAATTTTTATTATTTTTGTTTTATGGCACAAGTGTATAATATCTCATGGGGATTACTTTGAAGGGGACAAAATAGATGTTCATGAATAAATACGTGTAAATAATTTTTGAAAATAACTGTAAAACGAATCATATGAAAGCGAAAATCAAAACGGTTTCTTATTCTGTATCCCATTGGCTATGGCTGGAACTATAATATTTTCATAAAAAAGGGGGACTTTTCAATTTTTTTACTGTTTTTTTTTCAAATTTTAATTGTTTATAATTTTTTTTAAATAACAATGAATATTTTTCGATGTAGTACCGACCATAGCGAGACATTTTAGGAGCAAAATATATTTTAGTCCATGTTGACAAGTTCAATAGGATCTAAATGAGAGTTTCCCCGAGTTGGAAAAATGTGGTTTCGAGAATAAGGCGATTGAAGTTCGGCCGTAGTTACCACTTGGCGTGCGCCGCCATTTTCTCTTCTATACTTTTACCTCGTTATTGCGGACCTTCGGGATTAATTTTATATTATTTCTAAGCGTATTTTCCAGCAATTTACAGGAAAAAAATTTCAATTTTTTTTTTAAATTTTTAGAGAAACCTTGGCTTAACGAGTTTCAAAGGGAAAGCAATCTTTATGGAGGGTTTTCGTACTATTTATGTTTTTTTTTTTTGGTTCCTGGCACCAAATTTGAATTTTTTGGAGAAACCTTGCCTTTACGAGTCCCAAAGGAAAATCAATCTTTATTGAGGATTTTCGTACTATTAATGATTTTTTTTCGGTTCTTATTGAAAGTGAAGTCGCCAAAAATGTTGGCGGTAAACAGTCTTTTTGTACACTTATGGTTTCCTGGGTAGTGCACCCCAATATAATAGCTATGCACAGGTATTTTAAATGCATTATGCAGATAAAGACAATAAACCGATCTACATTCACTCGTACATATATGCATACTATTTTTTATAAATTTTCCTCAATTTTAATATTAATTTTTTAGTCTTTTTTCTAACATTTTTCGTTCACCTAAGACGCAAGAAATGCCACTTAAATTGCTAGTTTGCAGCTCGTGCTCGAGCTGAAGCAAAACAAATTCATCCTCTAAGTAAAAATAAATAAAATAAATTAAAAGAGTAAAAAAAAAACAACAATAAAATACAATATATTTTTATAGTAAAAATAATAATTTGTTAGCGCTTATTTATAGCGCAAGCAACGACTCATTGCGAAAATATTTCGTCAATTTTGTGAAAACAAGCGTATTATATGTACAGCTGTCTGTATGCACGACCAAGGCTGTATGCAACAATTTCCCAATCTAGACACCGAAGAAAGAACAAAATAAACAAACAATAAGAAAATTGACATTGTAAATATTTTGGCTTACAAAGCAAAGGGTTTCCACCTTAAAAATTTACGCTGATCTGCGCTGCACCTACATTTTCAAACATTTCTTGTTTTGCTTTTGCGTTGCTGAAGTCTCCTGGCTTTGCTCACGAGAGTTTGTGCAGATTTGAAAGAAAAGTATGTACGCTTGTGTGTATGTATCACATGTATGAGCCTCAAGTGTTTTACCTACGTTTATTTACCTTTATCTCGCTGAGATCGTAAATATTTCTTAAAACGAAAATCAATTCTTTTATAATTAATTCATTTTTTAAATTAATTTTTCATTAATTTTTCTTTCTTTACTCTCTGCTTTCAGGTCGTTAATAGCGTCAATACAACAACACGTGTTGAAAAGAAACGTTTACATCACATAACATCCTCATCGTCTTCGTCAACGTCCTCCTCGTCCACATCATCGTCCGAAATGAAGACGGCAGCACTGAAACGCGATTTGAGCGAAATCAAAAATTCCATGTCCGAAATAAATGATCTTGTCGGCCGCAACAACAACAGCACCACATGTGGCGTCGTTGGTGGCGGCAGCGGGCTGGGCAGTAATAAGAATCTGGCCATCTCAGCGTCAGCGCATCAGCCATCCATAAACGATCTCACACAGATAAATGCGCTGAATAGTTCGGATGCCATAAATAAGTTGAAGAAGAAGTGAGTGCAGTGAACTCTGCTTGCTAAAAAGAAAAAAAAAAAACCCTTAAAACTGTACTTTTTCGTTTTATTGTAAAAATTGATTTTAATATATTTTTTTCTTTGCCTCACAGAATCCGCTCATCCATTGAAAATCTCGTCGACAGCGATACGGAACCGTTAGTCACATTTCCCGATACCGACGACGATCATCATAATCTAGCCGATTTGGTTAGCGCCTCGAATGGCAAGTTAAGTGCCTCGAATGGACTCAGCGGTTCGGGTAAACTAGTTGATACCGTTAAATTCGAAGAAAAACGCTCAAGAACGGAATCGAAAACCAAGGTAGTAGCCGATGGTTTTAGTACGGAGCAGGCAACTAGTAATTTAGCTGAAATGAAACGGCTACAAACGGGTGATATCGATTATCAGGAGGCTAAAGCGGCGGCAGCGATGCGAAATCGCACGGAAATGGATGGTGTGAAGACCGAAGAGAATGCCGCAGTTATACAGGTGAGTTGGTGATTGTGAAATGAGAAAGAGATTTACGCTCTTCACTGTCGTTGATAGCTTTGAGGGTTTTCAAATAAATCAAAGGCTGTCTCAAGCTGAATTAGTTGAGCTCTGCTCTCTTCCACTTTCTTTTCGTCACACGGACTTTTTGTCAAATTTAAAGATAACATTAATAGATACATATATATTGCGAAAAGCGTAAAAAGCATACTCGCTAAAATTTCGCTTTTTGCTCATTATGCAGCAAACATCAAAGCAAACCGAGCCGCATACGGTCTGCTTAGCTTGAACTGATTCCACCAGCAGTTCAGTTTAATGGGCAAGTGTTACCGCATTCTTTTAAGACTCATTTCAGTGTCAGGACATTTCGGACTGCCGGTGGTTTTCACTAGTTGATCCGCGAAAACTTTGGTGTTCTGTAGACGCGCGTTTCTGTGAATAGGGGTTGGGGTTCTACTCGTAGAAAGGTTCTTTTTTCTTTTAAGAAGAAAATACCTGAAATTAGTGCATTGGTCATCCAAAGAGCGAAAATCCCAAGAAATGAGAAGTCGCACATAAGGCAACTCTTTACATATCTCACCTCGACCAAACTTCATAACATAAAATCTTTTCAGGCTTCGTTAAATGATTCCACCTTATTGACACCTATTGTAGGTAACGCAAGTACCGCTGTCGAGCCTCACAGAGGGCTGGACAGTGGCAGAGGTAATGCTTTACCGACTCCTGCTCCTATATGTCTCTACAGCTGCGACAGAAGTCTTTGAAATAGTATTCCACTCCTCTACATGGGACTCCATTAAGCAGTTTTGGCTGGTTTTTATCCCATAGCTATGTTCATGGATATACTTTTTGGAAGGAGTAGTAGCTCTTTTCCTTCGATAACATAAAAAATAACAAGAATACGTGCTCTAATAGATAAAAATTCCCAAAACCTCTCGTATACCAAGGTTTCTTAGTCTGCTAGCATTTTTCAAGACGAGGTATAGAACAGCCCTGCAGAGCTTTTTTAATTTCAGGACTATACGCAAAATATAATGGAACACTGGTCTTTTATGGAGCATGTATTGGCCTGCTCTGTAACAGCTATTGCTGTCAACACGAAATAGTATGAAGTCCCATAACGAAATTTGCGGATCACCACTACCGAACTAACACCAAACATGTTCTCAGTGAAGCATATTGATCCCACTCCGCTATAAATATAAGAACCTTAAGTGTATATGGTGAATCGTATTGACATTCCCAGTCCTTAAGAGCTTAATAACTTAATAACCCGAGACTGTATCTATCAGCCAGGTAGCCGAAACTGTACCAGAATTCCCAGAACTTAATCGCACAGAAGCAAAGTCTTGATTCTAGCGACTGTATTCCAATTTATAGGAAACTATTTTGTTCTTCCTAAAACTGATTTACCGTATGATTCAGTAGACTGAGTTTTTAGAAATCGTTATTCGGTTGGTTGGTTGGTTGTTTGGCTGTAAAAGGGAGTTTGAGCGTCTGATCGCTAGCGGCTGCATCTAAGCCATTGCATAGACTCTCAGTGTATCCCAATAGTTCGCTGGATTTTATAAATTGTTTTAGTTTCTACCAAACTTTGTAGGTTTGAAGCTGGGAGCGTCATGAAAGATATGACGTCTCAATTAGCTGAGGGCGGGACACTCGCAAAGGTAGTATTTCAGTTATTCGTCGTGATTCGTTATCGACCGATTCCACATTACTCCACAATCCTTGCATTGAGGTTTTGAGCACTTTTAACACCATTTGTTTTACATACAAGTAAGATTTGACTGAAAATTTCTAATTGAGGCCGCCCCTCTGCAGGGAATGTCCACCCCTCTGAGCGTATTTAGGACATGAAATAAAGACTCCTTATACAAAAACCATCAGCCGTTCGGGGGCTGCTTTGTATAAACTGTAGATCCCTCCATTTATTGGAAAAACATCAAAATGCAAAACCAGTTTTTTGGGAGTGTTTGGGAGTGACAGCCCTTGGCCGGTGAAAAATCCAATTCGGGTATAAAGACCCTACTGTCAAGGGAACTTTTGGATTTTAGGCGCCTCCTACGACAGGCAAGAATAGGTTCTTTGCCAAGGGAATTTATTGTTTGATCCAATCGTCATAGATGCTATTCATACTTGTTAGAGGATGGGATGTCAGACTGATCGCTCTATATGACTTCGGTAGAGAGTAATCTACCTTACTCACCAAGCTTCGGAAAGATTCTTGCTATATACTTGATGTGGCAGCGATGCTAAAAAACACCATGATTAATCTTCTCATATTACAGACTTGCTCTCGGTACTCTTCAAACATTTCAGAGCAAGGTTATGCGTCTGAGAGGGGGCCATTCCCAGCATACCAGAATATAATATATATGAATATTCACCTAACCCATATATATCCACAAATGCCATGGTGAACTGATTATTAAATTACAGTTGGCGGGTAATGAAAATTATGTACGAGTGCAAGCAATGTCGGGGAAGCCCCTGCCCAGTCAAAGGGTTTTCACTCGTCACAAAAGGCAAATTGACGTTTTAGGTGATATCTGCACATGCTTAGCAGTAAATATGTATTTGTATGTATACAAATATGTGGTTTTATAAAATATATAATAATAAATATATACACATACACGTATGTATATTGCATAAGTATGTATGTTTGTATGAATAATATGACTAGATGGGACATTTGCATGTTCTTTTCACTTATTCAAACTTCTCTTTGGGCACATGTGCATTTGTATGTATGCATGCATGTATGTGTGAATGTACCAGCAACTGGGTATTTGCGCCATCACGAACTAACGCAATGCCATTTTATGCGCCACGCCAATCCACGCCACAAACTCCACTCATATCCAGCGGCTGACTAATCTCTTGCTTCGTGGATTTATAGTGTTTTATTTCGTTTGCATAAGTCAAGTCGACATTAGCACGCACTGTTTTAGTAGCGTTGAATGTCAATCAGTAAACTAACGGTACTTTTTATATTTGAAAAAAAAAAAAAAAACTTGAAAAACAAAAGGCTTCAGTGGAATTTCTCATTGCTTTGTGTAACGTGAAGGACTTTTCATTTAAGGACATGCATTTGTGAGCGCAAAGCGAAAAACAAGTGAAGAAAGAAAACAAAAAAACAACAGAAGAAGCGGTTTGCTTTCGTAAAAAATGTTGGAGCATAGAAAACTGGAGCGAAATTCCGAAAAAAGTGTTTGCTATGAAAGTGAAGTGGTGAATGAAGCGAGAGGGAAATGTGAGCAATGTAAAAGATTACAAAAATTTTCATGAAAGAAGTGTTTAAAAGAAAAAAAACTATAATTTAGCAGCAAATGTAGTCAACTACAAAAGTTCTTTTTCTTCCATACCACTCAAGTGTGCTAGAAAGCCAAGGGCGTTAACTCGCCACAAAAGAGAATATCGATTTTCATTTTAGCCTTTGCCTTCGCCGGTCGTCTACAGCCGAAAGGAGCATTAGCGTTGTTTGGTGCTTTTTCTTCGACTTGGCAGTTCGGTTGGTTGCTTGGTTATAACGGTGTTTTCCATGTTTATTAAATAAACCGCGTTTAGTTGGCCTAAAGTGCTTTTGTTGTGTAGAACATATGGCTCAATTGCTGTCTGTCTGCATTGTATTTGCTCAGAAACTTTTTCATGTTAAGACATTATGTTGCTTACGAGGTGCCTTTTACTAACAACAACAAATCAGTGCTTGCTGCAAGTAACAACAATTAATGTGCGTAATTATTCCAAGCGTAAGCGGCCACAAAGCATACTTTCAAAAATCAAGGTATGTACATATGTTTATGTGTGTTTATGTGTGTGTATGTGAGTTGGAAAAGATTCAATTTGCAATTTTAATTTTATTTTTTATTTTTCATTAAAAAATTCACTTTTGAAATTGGCAATCGTACAGCAAGAATTATCGAGTTATTCGATTATCTTTACGCCTAAATGTAGGCAGCACCTAATGTGTCGCAAAAGGCCGATGTTTATACAGTTTTACATTTATCTAATTATCACTATATAAAACAATGTAATAAAATTCCAAAAAAAAAAACTGCGGCGTTTGATGCGGTGCTGAACTGAATCCCTTTATCATTTAATAATAAAATTTATGACATGAAAATGTAGTCAGACATTGGCATACGCACAGGCGTGCGGGCGAATAAATAAGTTTCAATGATTTTGTCTTCATTGAGATGGCTCGACATGCCGATTAATGATGAAATATCACTCCGCCATTCATTTGACTGCTGCAGCTGGCTTTGCAGTAGTCCATTTTGTCCTGTTTGTTGAACCGATTTTTCAACAAATTTTTGATTGTTCGGGTTTTTGTTATATGATTTTCGAACACCTTGCGTGTTTGTCCGACTCGTAGTGCCTTCTTAGTGAAACCACGCCCCGCCTCTTTCTTTCGCTATTGTACGTCATTCGGAAACACGAAGTACTTGCTGGTCCTATTCCAACTGGTCTTTCCCCTCCCTCTGCTTCCAATGGCTGGCACTGCATCGAAAATTTTCACAGCTGGAACTATAAATCTTTCACAAACCCTAAACAGCTACAGATTTGATCTTCAACGGCTATAGAATTATATGGGACACTCAAACATTTAGCTTCTTTGAGTAGGCAGCCTGTTTCTTATGTCGCCTCAGTGATGCGCTATTACCTCCAATATCTGACGGTCAGCCAGTGTGCTGGTGTTGTTCCATCTGTTGCAGAATTTCAACTGCCTTTTGAGTGTCTGGCCGACCAGTATGAAGAATTTCTGAAACGGAATCGAGCAAGCCACGACTGGCGTTCACTTACAGCCTTCTCAGCGTAAACCCCACAAGGTTTTCGGTACGTTTACCAGTTTTATGGCAAAAAGACTTCTCATTTCTTTAGAAATTTCACTTAATTTCAAATCAAACTAACTCTACACATGAATGACGATTTACAGGACTGCCTTCACAAATAATAGGTGTTGGTTTGATGCAATGAATGTTTGCACGAAATAAGGA